AGTTTTGGGGTGCGGCAAACTGTACTCTCTAGCGATAAAGTTGACCAACTCCCCTGGCGTGTTATCTCTCTTTTTACTCAATTTCTACTCTTTCGAGCCGCCTCCCACAGCCTGGTAGAGGCTAACTAGGGTGGCTTAACTACAGTTCTAGACAGTTGAAGTCCAGAGACCTGGCATAGAAAGCTGCTCTCATTCCAGCCAGGAGCATTCTGGCATTAAACCTACTTTATATAATTACGACCATCTCATGTAATTTCCTGTCAGTGGTCAGGGGATAGCAGTGGACAATGACACCTTTGTCTAACTTCGGTGTAATTGAAAACGTAAGTCAAATTGGAGAAGACGGGCAAATTTGCTTTTAAGCCGCCTTCGGTAATCTGGCTCTTGGCCTTTTCTGTAATATCCCCATTTGTGCTTGTCTTAATGGGATGATTCGTTTTACATTTCCTCCATTAAACATGGCTTTCTTGCTAACAGGCCAATAATCACATTGACCCACATCCGTTGTAGTTTGGCTGAAGTAGGTCATCCGGTTTTTCTGTCCAAACTTGCATGGGGACTACATGTATACATGTGCAATGTAGGTGTAGGGCCTGCAAAATTCCACCTCCATACAGTACATGTATATGCAGGTAAAATATTGGAGCTGTGCAGGCATTTCTGATGTCTACCCTGCACCTAACCTGCACTGGTCCATGTACTGGGTATATGCAGGTTGGTGCAGGTAAAATTGGAGCTGTGTAGGTATTTCTGATATCTGCCTGCACTGGTCCATGTACTGGGTTTGAAAGTTCTGCTGCAGTACCAAAGACAGCTGCTAGGAGGCCCAAACTTGACCTTGACCTTTGTCCTACTAACACAATAATTCATCCTTCCTAAGTTCTGCTGACAACAAACACACAGAGAAACTTGAAACGCCTCCTTTTTCAAAGAGGTTAGAAGATATTCGTAAAGAACTTACTACTGGTACATTTGTACCAAAATACAAGCATTTTGGGGGTTAATATGTGCCCAGAATACTAGTAGTACATGTCAATGACCCTTTTTTTTCAATTCAGAAAACAATGACGTGGGTGTGTTTCAGCAGGTAAATCAGTGCGACATGTATGAAGTAATAAGTTAAGGGTGAAAAGTGATAAGTGACAAACACGTTTGCCTCTTGGCGAAATGTCCAGACAATTGTCTGTAAGCAAAAGGTGAACGTCACAGTGAATAGCAGAAACTAAAGTTGGTAGAAAGCCAAATACTGTAATACCTTAATTGGAGATGTTCACAGAACTGTATGTACACAGTGGCTGGAGGTGCATTGAAAAAAGGGGGTCTGCAAAAGATAATTATTTGTTAACGGTATATGGCTATGATAAGTTCACAGTACAGAACTGACCGCGAAAACCGGAAGCATTTAAGTGCCGCGAAAATATCAGGAATTACAGTACACTAACTTTTACTTACTTTCCAAGCAGAGGTTTGGCATGGTCCAATTTTTTTCCCACTGGCACCCTCCCAACTGCCTGTTGACTCTCTGCTAGCTTCTTCTTTTGACCCCATTTCCTGTGTCTGACTTGTGAGGTAATAACTCCACACATATCAAATACTTTTGGACACACAAGCAAACAGACAGACACACAGACATTTTGTATGTCTGACATTTTGTGGTCCGTAATGAAGTACTAGCAGTGTTCTAGCCAGCCTGAAATTTTTTCCAGCTATTTGAATTTTGTTTGATGCAACAGTGGGTAAAGGGGTCTGGGAGCATGCTCCATTGGGAAAATTTTGAAACCTTGATCCTCTGAAACACTTTTTCCTGCATTTGAGGGGCAGATTTTGCTTGTAGACTATGCCTAGTTTAATGACATATCTTTACATGCCAGTTTTTGTCTATCAACAATGACAGATTGGGCAAATTCTTTATCCGTCATGAGCAGCAAAATTCTGTCAAATGTTCCTGGCTAGAACACTGTGTACTAGTATCATATTACCATATGTCTAACCTTCAATGCCCTACCTTTGTTTTTACAATAAACAAATCGAAACAAAAAGAATGACAATGACAAGACTCCTTACAAAACTTAGTACCATTTTATTACTCAGCATGTACATCCAAGTCCTTGCTCTGTGGTTGGGGCTAATCGCACCTGACAACATACATGCTTAGGTCAGCGAGGCACGCTTCTCACAATGTCTCATGTTCGTCTATAATATGCAACGACAAAAAGTCCGGTATACCGATGGGGGAGGGCAGCAAGGTTTCTCCGAGCGTCTCTAGCATAGCTCAGCTCATCACAGTCGGTAGGTTTTTTTTATTGCCTAGGCTATGTGCTGCCATTGATACAGCCGAGAAGAAGCACCATTTAACACTAAAAAATGTCTGCTAGAACAGGAAAAATATCACAGATAACAGAGGGTGTTTTACACAGATTCAGTTACTACAGAACTGATCTTTTTTTTTTTACAAAACAAAAAACGTGATGCCTGGATTGTGAAAAATATGAAATCCTGGCTAATATAAGAACCAACACCCAGTGTCAATCTGCCCCATCTTTCCTGTAGAAGTGATGATATTTACCTAATTTTTAAGTCCGTACAGTTTGGACGAAAACATTATTTTGTGAATATTGCTGTGCAAAAAGGTCCATGGAACTTGCCACACACCTGGCAACTTCGATACAGTCCATTTTGAAGGCCATACAATATGTGTCCAACCCAAAACAACACCTTACTGGTACATGAAAGACCTAATATAGTCCCCCTTCCTGAAGAACTTTCGAGCAGCATTGAGAATTTTTTGTATGCGAACTTGTTGTGGCAAACCGTTTGGAGCAGGGCTCAAAATGCATATGAAATTAAGTGCATCCAATTTTTGACCGTGGGTTCATGAGTACAATTGGTACTATTGTAAATGTACCATTGTACAAAAGTAAATTTCAGATTATATAAAACTTTTGTTGTATTCAACTTGTTAAAAATGTTGAACTTAGCTATAGAATTTCAAATGCAAGCTCTGAAGAGAGGCAGAAAGGTTTGTATTTTGATTTTTCTGGAATTCTACTTTATTTCTTTAAAACAATAAAGTATAATAAATTCAAACAAATGCACCAATTAAATTCTTGGGTTAGGTACATCATAGCAGATATTTTCAAAAATGAATTTCGAGCCCTGGCATAGAGAACACCTTAATTCAGTCTACTGTTTTGGACTGAAAACAACAGGCAGTTAGTGTTTCTTGTCAACTTGGCACTCGGCAAAGTATCGATATTGAAAGTTGGCCAGAAAAGTACTTGCGGGAGGGGGGCCCCGCGAAAGGTATTTCAAGGCAGTGTTACGTTGTTTGGGTCGGTTAAACAGTTGTTTTGTCTATGTCTGGCACCAATGTATCAGTGCAAGTGTTTCCAAGGATATATAGTGTACACAGTCTTGCCACGTATTATATCCAGGACTACAACAACAACACAACAAGGCTGCACTCCTCCAAAGGTGGTAGCTAGACTTCGTATAGGAACAGGCATTGCGCCATAGTTACACTATAGAGCCGTCAATGCCGGTGAAACAAATATTAATACAACAAAAATTTGTGTATAATCTGTCTTCCTCTTGTTTATACCTATGAGACAATGTTAAACAAACAACCTTAGAGAGCTCAACGCAGTGCGACACAAAACCCCGAAGTGTAAGTGTAACCTATTACATAGGTGAAAACGTCTGGTCTACTTTTGTAGGTAGGTCCACAACTTCACCACTAATTAAACACCCATAGAGTACTGGTAAAGAACTAATCAGAATACAAATACAAGGAGCACCAAAGAGAAAAACGAGAGGAGAGGGAAGTTACAGGACAGTTAGAGAGAGTCAGAGAGAGAGAGTTGTGGCAGTGGAGGAAACTCCGAAACTGCTCAAAGGAAAGAAGTAGGCACATGATCCACCTATCGACAAAAAATTGTACAATATATCATGGAAGCATTTTTACAAAAGGAAAAATATACACCACTTACTTAAACTACAAAGCCTTTCAGACTTCAGATATATTTTACAAATACAATTGACATATACAAGCTTCGTGTTTGCTTTCAGCAAAATATTTTACATCAGTGTACATAAAAATTTTAAGATTTTTATTTTCACTCAGTCGTCAGGTCTTAGCTACAATTTTTTCTTACAGTTCGGGGTTGAGAGTCAGCTAGCTTCCTGGTGAATAAAGCATCCACTAATTCAACTACACTTAAAATATTCAACATTATAAAATTGATATTCAACATTTCAATGAAAACTAACCTAGGATCAAGTGGAGTATCAAAGACTTCTTTTTGGTTGTTCTTGTAAAAAAGTGACGATTTTGGCCATCCGTTATCAGTATACCACTTCTTTCAGTTCGAATAACATATAAGGCAAATTATACTTTGTCACATCGAGTTCTTCAAGATAAGCAGGAGCTGTGTTCTTCAGTTTCAATGCTGTATTGCAAAGTTCGCAACTTTATAATCAACAGGCCCCTTAGATTGTCATAAGCTTAGAGACACGCGCGGCCGCGTGTCGTTTTTTTTCTTCTTTTCACAGCGAGAACAACTGTGCATACACAACACCATTGCGAGATCTAAAGGTTTAACTATGCTGTTTCAGGTTTCTGTTTTTCTTTTGTGTGTCTGTCTTGCTTCTGGGCCAGATGAAACCGGTTTGCGACGGTTGTTGTTGTTGGTTCTGGACCCAGAAGCGTGTCTGAGGATATAGAGCAGGCAATGGCGGGCAGTCACACTTGCACAGTGCCAAATGTTACCCACAAGGATACATGACTAACAGGTGGACATGCTGGGTAGTGAGTGGTTGGTTGGTGGGACTCTTCGATAAACAAACAAAATCAGTGAAAATATCCTTTTTTAAGTTTCAAAGAAACACCTTTTCGGTCAAATTTGATGCCGTATGGAATAAGTACTACATTTATGTCATTAAATGTGCCGAACAGTTCAATTTGACGTAAGTACAAGACATTTTTTCCTTGTTGCCTTCAAAAAAATAAATGAAGACATCTACAAGCTGATACATCTTGCTACTGTGGGTAGGATCAGGCACAGGCTCAAGGTCACAGGTCATGACCTTTGCTCCTTAGCAACCAATCTGAGGGGAGCTGCCCTCATCCCACCACAGAAAGTACCCCCTATAGGAAAGTGTGATGTTCCTTTTTTTCTTTTAACATCATAATTTACAGCAATCTGTTTCTACCTTGATTTCCTAATGGCAGTGTCAAAAAAAAAATGCAAGAAGCAAGCCAATCCTTATAACCCTCACCACCCAACACCCCTTCTCAGCAATGGTATACTCCATTGGGAAAGAATTCCTACTGCTTGTCTGTATAGTCAAGGAGGTTTAAAATTTTGATTTTAGACCCCCTTGGTATAGTGGTGGAATCTTCCATTTGGCAGTGTGAGGTATACAGCATTTCCGCAGCCATTCCAACTGAATGTCCCGCTCTAAAAAATGTTCTCGCTAAATTTCTGTACTGTTCTTGTGCAACTCTTATAAAGCATTCAGCTTTTTTTTTGTCATCGTACGGTACGGTAATAATACCTTTTCTTCAGCAGCCTTGAAATGATTTACACAAGGACAGGTGCTTCCAGATTTACTTAGTACGAACATTACACAAACTGTACCATACACAGTGGCAGTGATACGACCCTAAACAGCACACGGGTGGGGCCTAACCTACAGTCCCTATTCTATGCAGCTTTAGTACTTCAACAGACATCAGGCATCCCAGGCATCAGCAAATACACCGTATATTGCTGTCTGCATTTGTGCGTTGGCAGATATTTAGGAGGAGCCATTGATACAAATTATTCACCGAGCACAGTAATGGAATCTGAAAGAAGTGGTCGGAGAGAGAGGTTTCCAATGACAGGTGGGGGGAGGAGGGGGAAAAAGGTAGGGGTTCGTGAAACAAAATGCATTCTATGTATGTAACGTATGCAGTTGGCCATATTATACTAATCACACTTCTCAGGCACAACAAAATATCCCAGTCCTACCTCAGAGTACATAAGGGAAAAATGACTTTTCTTCTTCTTTTTTTTGTCTCTTTTTTTTTCGCCTTGGACACTGGCCGGGGTAAGGGAGAGTGACATCTTGGCTGGGGTGGGATGGAAGAGGCATTTATCCCTCCAGGGTTGGCACAGAGCACTTTCTACTTGCTACCCCAAGGGACTTGATATGTCGTCTTAAAAAAGCCTTACCCTTTGGGTACATATCCACCATATGTACAATACTCTTCCTTGTGAGCACCATCGAACAGCAAAAATACAACTTACAACCCAAGAAAAGCACCAGGAATAGAGGCAGCAGTATATAAGGGGCGGGGTGGATGCGTTTGTGTTTGTGTGTGAGAGGAACATAATAAGGAAGAATGCTGGCTGTATACAAAGGACGAAAATGGAATCTACTGTACTCTGGTTATCATGGAGTGGCTTCGACACGCCCATGACTGTGTCCAACGTAAAGACAGCGCACTGCACTTCCAGTTGAAACAAGAATACTGGCTGGTAGACTGACAGGATTTTTTGTATACCCCTATCACTTTTTAGCCTCGACGTAAACAGTCATTAGCGTGATTTTGGTATCACGTGCGTGGAAAGCTGACGGAGGAAGATCGAGCAGAGGATGACATCTACTGCCCGCGACGCATCGTGTCATACTTTTCCCGACCCGGCAGCTCCACTTTTGACCTCGTACTTCTGAGGGCTGGAAACGACGTCACTATATCGCGGTGGCGGGTCTCCGTACGACGAATTTGTACTCCCATACTGTGTTCTCGTGTGCGTCCCACTGTGGTGGCTGGGAGGGCCCGGAAATTGTCCCGTGTCGTAGAGAGGAAAGTCAGGGCGATCAAATATAGTTCTATTGGGGGGCGGTTGCACAGATTCGCGTTCTAACTCGCGCTGCTGGTCGGGGTTTCTCAGCTGTAAGTGTCTCTGGTCGGTGTAGGGAGGGTGCTCCTCCCCATCAGACAGCTGGATGGCAGGCGGCAGGTCGATGTCCGAGTGGGGGAAGTGGAATCTGGGCTGCTGCTGGATGGTGAGGGTCTGACGTTGTAAGGATTCCTGCCGGGCCAGCCGCTCCTGCTCACGCTCCCTCCGCGTCCGAGGGCTGTACAGTACCTGCAGAGATAGACGGGCAACCAATTAATAAATCAATCAATCCACTAGTCAATCAATCAATCAATGCTCCCTCCTTGTCCGAGGGCTGTACAGTAACTGCAGGGACAGACGGACAATCAATCGATCAATCAATTATAGTCAATCAATCAATCGTTCAGTCAATCATTCAGTCAATCAATCAATGTTCATTTCTCAATACATGTGGCAGCACTAGTAACTGCAAAGACAATAAAAAAATCAGTCAGTCAGTTAGTCAATCAATCAATCAAAGGCTCATTTCTCCAGTTGTTTGAGTTTCACATTTCTTGTGTAATAAACATGGCAGCACTACATGTAGTTTCTGCAGAGACAGACAAGATGAAGGTCAGGATAAAATGACCTATCAGATTACCAGAGGGATATACATTTGTAAGTGCAAACTTCATGTAATTTGCGTCCCTAGCCTTAACCCTGAAGAAGCCACACTGAAAAAAGCCTGGATACCATACATCCTATTTGTATACCAGGGCTCCCATACTAAAAAACTTGCTACCAGCAAGTATAGAACAAAGCCCGATAGAAAATCACGAAACTAACATGGCAGCCAGCGCCTGCCTTGCTCATTGACATGGAAGGTGAGTCAAAACACTCAATTATTCCCAAATTCGACAGTTCTAGCAAACTGATTAAAATATAATAACGAGTAGATTTACTACCAGCAAGTATAGAACAAAGCCCGATAGAAAATCACAAAACTAACATCGCAGTCAGCGCCTGCCTTGCTAATTGAGATGGAAAGTGAAGTGAGTCAAAACACTCAATTATTCCCAAATCCGACAGTTCTAGCAAACTGATTAAAATATAATAACGGGTAGATTTTCTAGAATTTACAGACACACATCCTTGTAGATGACGCTTCTGAATCATTATTATTATAATAATTATTATAATAATAAGTCTTTTCCCTTGCGGCAGACTATAGCGATTGCCAGAAAAGCTCCTTCTCATCCTTTCAAGAGGTCCAAATAGCTGCCGTGATGTCATGTCTAGACGTATTGGCCGCCAGCTCAGGAAGTCCATAGTCTGCATCCGCATGTAAAACCAGTATCTTCAGATGTGCTGCCACGCAAGCTAAAATTCTGACGACGACAATATCTTTTGCGTGCGTGTACGTAATGGTCTAACCATGTGTGCCAGCATGACCTGAATACTAAGAAGGTTATACTGTCTAGATCTGGTGTCGTAGCTTTATTTGAATGTCAGCACAATACTAAATGCGTTCAACTTGTCTGGATATGGTAGACTTTGATAGAATTGTAGCTAGTACATGTATGATTTTCTGACATCACCCCCCTCCCGCAAAAAAAATCCCTGTCTCATCTGGAAGAACGATTGAAATACAGCCTACCAATATTTGTTGTTTCTTCGTCACTTGTTGTGAGACAGCCTTTCTATACTTAAACATTGAGTTACGTGTATCATTAAGGAATATCCATTTCTGACCATTGCTAACTCAGAAATAATAATCTTTAAGACAGAAAAAATTGCTGAAATAAGCAAAATTTATAATCAGCACAGGTGTGACACAAAGTTTATGAATGAATATGGGCTTAAAAAAAAGAAACTGGCACCAGTAATGCCTACATGTGTATAGACAACATACTACTAAAGTAACAATTTCCTTGTGTCTCATTACCTGGATGCCTAAGCTTCATCTATGTACGTCGGTGAAGGTTAGACATCCAGGTAATAATATACACCAAAAAAACAGTTACTCAAGCAACTGGACATGATTTTGGAAACAGTCAGATGTTTCAGGTAGCATCCACTACCATTCGTCAGTGACGCTAGAGACTGCAGGAGAAATGCAGGTTTTATAAGCAAGCCATTTCTCTCATTCATCTATGTACCAACTTCACTGCTTCTTCTGTCGACTGCACAAGAAATGCCTTACAGCCATACAGGTCCTTAGCCCCTACAGCCAGGGTACAAAACCTAGAAGTGCATGATACGACAAAGTATTACCAGGTACATTACATGCAGAAGGTGGCAAACGGTCACTGAACCATCACCATGGAACTTAACGTCAGCCAACCTTATTGCTTCTTCTGTCTCCTGTACAAGAAATGCCCTACAGGTCCTTGACCCTTCCAGCCTGTCTGACCTTGTTGTACCCACAGGAGACAGCTGTTTGTTTACTCCCCATGTAACCCAAATCCTGGCCATTAGGGATGAACTGGGTCAGACCTAACCACAGTAGCATGGGACATCATCAGTCCAGACAGACAGTCTGCCTTCATCGCATAATCTCTGCTGGAAGACATCTAATATAAGGCACATGAGAAACTCTATCTCAGTATCTGCTCTATCCATCAGGGTTTTTTTTTCTGGTTCAAAAGACAGGAGTTTTGCTGACTTTATTTTGTTGTGCACTCAACACTTTTCGTGCACCTGAATTTCCAGATTAGCACCTCATTTGTCTAATCTCTTCACAAAGACTTTTAATATAAGGCACATGAGAAACTCTATCTCATCTAGTCATCAGGGCTATACCTTGATTTTTGGTTTGAAAGACTGACTTTATTTTGTTGTGCACACAATACTTTTCTGTGCACCTGAATTTCCAGGTCTTTTGTAATTGTCTTCATCTTATAATCATTGTCTTCTGAAAGACCTCTAATCGAGGCACATGAGTATCTCTATCTGCTCTAGCCATTGGGGCTATACCTTGATTTTCTGGTTCGAAAGACAGGAGTTTTGCTCAATACTTTTTGTGCACCTGAAATTCCAGGTTAGGTGTGTGATAGTGAGTGAGTGTACCAATGCACCTCTTTTATCTATATCTGATTATCTCTTCTGAAAGACTTCTAATATAAGGCACATCAGTAACTTTATCTGCTCTAGCCATCAGGGCTATACCTTGATTTTCTGGTTCCTGTCTGATAGACAGGAGTTTTGCTGACTTTATTTAGTTGTGCACCCAAAACTTTTTGTGTACATACATTGTACCTGAATTCCAGGTTACTGTGCATGTAGGTGCACCAATGCACCTCTTTTGTCTTTATCTCATAATCTCTTCTGAAAGACCTTTAATACATATATGGCAAATGAGTACAGGGCCGCAGGTAACTCTATCTCCTCTAGTACTCAGGGCTATACCTTGATTTTCAGGTCTTGAAAAGTGAAACTAGTCTTGGTAAAACTGATGTGAGAAATTGGAGCTGAGAAGTCATCTCGAGAACTCCTTGACCTGAATCTGCAGGAATTTCGGAACACAAGTGGCGGAATTTGCGGTAACATGTTGGCTACAGCAGTTCCTCCCCCTACGCAAAACAAAGCAGGGATTAAATGGAAAGGTCACGATGTCTACTAGAGATAAGGGAAGCAGGCCTCAAAATTCATATTTGGGAAGAGGAGCACGTCGGCAGAACGTACTGCGCCTGCGCAGAACCCTACATTTTCACGCTTTTCGGTGGATTTTTGCTCAACGTTGCATCAGAATTTTGCTTGTTGCAGAGGATATCTTTTCCGAAATAACATTTGGAAACTACAGACGAGATGTTTTCCTTATATGCGCGAATACGACCTTATATGAGACGTTCTGCCGAAGTGCTATGTATAATACACTACGGGTTTCGCGCAGGTGCAGTACGTTCTGCCGACGTGCTGGGAAGAAGTGCACTGGTGCAACTAACCTGGAAATTCAAGTGCACTGAAAAATACTGGGTTAACAACAAAATAAAGTACAACGTCAAAAACCTTAAAATTGTAGTTAATTAAACCTTGAAAAATTGCAATAAACCCAAATTATCAATAGCTAACTTAAAAAAGTTACAAGTATGTAATACAACAAAGGTTTTATCATTTTTTCTGAACTTCTTCCATTGTGGGTGGCGCCAGACTGTCCCTTCTAAGATTGACTATTCTTAGTAATCTTACGTATTTCTAGGAATAGCCACAGGGTAGTATCATTGCACAATCCATGCAAACTGCCTGTAATACATGTATGTTACAAAAGAAAGAAATTAGGTCTCCAGAGAAATACTGTACTGTCTTTACCCGATTTAAGATACAGCTACAACGTGACTTTATTGGTAGCCGCCGTGTTGCACACTGAATAAAAAACAATTTACAACTAAAAGGACATTCGTTTAAAGTATATCATAAAGTAAAATTTCCATGACAGATCGTTGTGTCTTAAAGAGCAGGACAGACAGAAGTTAACATGAAATTCAATATATTGACTATAGAAAAACAGTTACTGATTTAATGAGGGTTGTTTAATTTGAACTGACAGCGTCCTTCACTTTACACTCTAACTCACAAATAAGACTTACAGTGGAACAACCACAGGAATTACACATGCCTGAGGGCAAATGGGCACATACTTAGAAACTGCATACAGTCATTTTCACTTTTAGATTGAACTGGTCTGATGCAAGAGCATGGGAAAAGAAAAGGGTACAAACAAATAAAACAACAAGGTAGATTTTGAAGCAAGAGTGCTAAAAAAAAGGGAAAAAAGTAAACAAAGTTTGCAGATTTCGATTCCAGATTGTGGTGCCAAAAAGTGCAGAACAGAAACCTGTCTATGGCCACATACTTGGAGACTGCATACAGTCATTTTCACTTGTAGATTGAACCAGTCTGATACAACAGCATGGAAAAAGAAAAGGGTACAATTTCAAAACAAAATAGAAGTACAAGGTAGATTTTCAAGCAAGAATTCTAAAAAAAAGAAAAAAAAGGAAACAAAGTTTACAGATTTCGATTCCAGATTGTGGAGCCCAAAAGTGCAGAACAGAAACCTGTCCATGAAATTGTACAGGTTTTGTTTTGACGGTGATTAATAGAGCATGGATAAAATCAGGTGCACCACCAAAACACGACTGTCTGACCTTCTGCATTATTCCAGTTCATCAGCTGTATTTTTTTTTTTTGTTCAAATCCAAGAAGCAACAAATCAAATGGGTGTGACTGAATGGTACATGTCATCATGAAATGAAAGTGTTTAGTATAAT